TTCTATTAACATCATCACTTGTTCAATGTGGAATTGATAATTTTGGAATTATTTTATTTGATCATCGTGTAAGAATATTAAAGAAATTTGATCAACCATGGAATGAATTTACTATTTATATGTTACTTCAAAATTTCATTATATCTTCAATAGTTGGTACAAATGATGCTGTTGCAATTGAATATGCACTTGATATACTAGTGCAAGAACCTGTTACAAATAATAAAAAATTTTTTGTTTTAACAGATGGTTATACAACATGTGGTTTAAAATTAACTGAAGCTTTAGTTCGTGCTGACTCAGAAAATGTTGAAGTTATTGGAATTCAAATTGGATTTGAAAGACCATGTGTTCATCGTTTTTATCGTGATTGGATTATTGCTGCTATACCAGCTGCACTTTGTGATGGATTTAGATATAAATATAGAAAAGATATAAATGGTACTTTTCCAATTTTACAAGATGATAATCAATTGCTTAAAAAACGAATTATAAAAGGTACAAATGATGATCCACAAAAATTACTTAATGATTTTAAACGTGAATTTACTTCAATAGAAACTATTCTTCGTACTGAAAGAGATGCACATTTATCAAGTGGTTCAGGAGGTGGAAGTATGAGTTTAGATGTTTGCTTTGTTATTGATGTTACAGGAAGTATGACACCTTGGTTAAGTGGCGTCAAACAACAAATTAATGCAATAACATCTGGTATTATTACAAAAATAGAAGAACAGTTTCCAGATATGAATTTTATTTTAAGATATGCTGTAGTTGCATATCGAGATGAGGGTGATAATCCTAAAATTGAAATGCTTGAATTTGAGAAAGGAAATATACTGAATAGTAAATTAACACATAAGCAACGAAAAGATCAACGGAAAAAATATCATAATGAACAAACTAGAAGAGTGTCAGATTTTCTATCAGCATTAAAACCATATGGAGGTAACGATGAACCAGAAGATGTTTTAGGAGCATTAGATCATGCTTCAAAATTAAATTGGGATGCTCGAGCAAAATTTATTGTCTTAGTTTGCGATGCACCAGCTCATGGTCACGATTGTAATGATGTTAATACTGATCGATTTCCAAATGGATTCAATAATTTAAAAGTTGAAGATGTTATGAAAAAATTAACAGAAAACAATATTGATCTTATACTTTGTCATTTAAAAGCAACAGCTACGAAAAAAATGGCTAACACATTCTTAACACATTTGCACAGTTTTCAACCAAATCGTAGAAGTGATGAATTACTTCGAGAAATTCAATTGTACGATAATTCAGTTCAAGAACAGAACAAACCGTATCATTTTGTATTTGTATTAGATGAAAGTGGAAGCATGAGCGGTCAAAAGTGGACTGATTTAACTGATGCATACAATATGTGTTTAGAAAAACGACTTGAAATTGCTCAACAATTATCAAAGGATTTTATTAGTATAGTACAGTTTGATGATGATGCCCGCGTCATTTGTTCAGCATCTCCATTATCAAATGGCATTCCTCGATTAGCTCATATGACGGAAGGAGAAACATCATTTTCGCCTGCTTTACAAAAAGCTATGGAAGTATTGAATAAAGTGACAGACGGATACATTCCGGTGTTGTTGTTCATGTCGGACGGACAGGGAGAAGGAGGACCAAGTGAAATGGCTGGTATCTATACAAACTATAAAAGTCGAGGTCTTCAAGTTCATACTATAGCATTCGGTAAGGATGCTGATACAGCAACTCTAGAACAGCTTGCAGACGCTGCTCATGGAAAATTTCATAAGTGTATCACTGGTGCAGAATTAGCAAAAACATTTGTTCAAATTAGTACTGCATTGACATCTGTCGATGGACTTATTCAAGAATTTGCTAAAAAAGTCAGTGATGCGGCAACAAATAAATTAATGTTGGAATTTTTATAAAATAACTACGTATTACTCAAGACAAATAAAACATTTGATTTTATAATCAAATATATGCATGTTTTTGCATTTTTTAATTGATTTTAATTTATGAATAATCTCGAAAATAAATTTCATTCACTTTAATTCGCTTCATTTTAGCTATCTTCAAAATAGCCTTTAAAAAAAGATACTAGGATGGGTGTCGGTGTCAGTGACATTAAAGAAATCTTCACATCCACAGTCACACCTATATGCACACTCTCAATAAAAATAATGGAAAGTAAATCAAATTATTCTGATATACTTATTTAAAAACATTCATAAATAAATATTAATAAAAATATAGATGAAATATATTATGGATTAATCTCAATTTGATATGATCGAATTAAGAATAGTCAATTTTAATTTGATTGAATATCTTATAATTAGTATTCAAAAAGGGATAAATGCAGCAGTCATTTGAGTGTAAGCAACTTTTTGATTTTATTAATCATCTCCACAAAATAAAGTACAAATAAATTTCAACTTGTAATTCCATAGTGATGAGGTTTACAAGTTAAAAAAAAGAAATTCATATCTAAACTAAGCTGCAATCATTTTTGCTTCATGCCGACGTTGTTCAACAACGGGTTCAACCATGAATTGACAAAAAAACCAATTATGTAAATGAACAAATTTCAATATTAATTAGATAGAACAAAAAATATACTAACCGACAAATCAAAATCATCAATATT